GTGTTCGTGTTGCAATTTTTTTTACATCATATGCTTGGGGAAACCCGACTTTAATAAAGGCTATAATAGTGTCTCTAGAGGATTTTTGTTTTCAAAGTTAGGTACATAAGTCATGGTGTATCCGCACCGAGCGGGAACAAAAGAGGGCGTGTCTTTAAATGACTGTCCTTTGGCGTGCAGGCCTAATAAGAGGCCGTCTACAAATTACGTATACACGAAGGAAAGCGGGAGTTGGAGCGCCACTGCGTACGCCATGTGTACGGGGAGGGGGGTCTGAAAAGTCGGCATTTCGTGCGTACTTCATAGAGGTCCCTAAATAAATTCCCAAAGACACCAGTGATAATTTCCTATAGTTCAAATTTATTTCAAAAATGCTCACAGGTGTCCAGGCTGGACAAAAAAAAATCATGTTCTGCATTCCCTCTTTCATTTTCCTTTCAGTTTTTGGTGGGTTGACAAATAAATTTTTGAAAAATTCTCACCCAAAGCAGACCACCCCTAAAATGAAGGAAATTTCGCTGCCCAGAAAAGTAGTCATTTTGGCAATGCATCGCCGTGCACAGCGGCTAAATAATGCCACTTTCAGACTCGCATGCATCAAAATTGCTCAGAATTGGAAGCCCTAAGTCCAGGCGAGAGGTTCGGGTCATATTTCTTTTATTCCCCGATTCCATAGCACTCAGTACTCTCTAATATAGACTATTTCATGTGCATCGAAATCGGCGGACACATTTCTGGCCTATTTATAGGGATGCCCCCTGCGGTACCTATGAGTTCTTTATAATGAAGATCAATGATGTTTGGTACGAACTCACTGCACAGGCGAGCAAGTTTATGCGCGTTTGGCGTGGGGCAAGTACGAAGCAGAATTCGGGTCAAACAGATTGGAACGTGTTTTTGCCAAACGGAATGCCCTTTTTTTCAATATCGAACGTGTTTTTAAAAAGTTGAATATATTTTTGAAAGCAATTTCATTTTAAAAAGATCGTATTTTGACTTTTGGAATGCATTTTTAAAAGCCAAACGAAATTTTCAACATGCAATACATGTTTGTTTGTTTGTTTGTTTGTTTTTTAGATTTGTATGAAATTTTAAACAGAGGATGAATTTGTACAGACATAATTTTTTTTTAAAGTGAACATGTTTTCAAAATTCGAATAAGATTTTACAGATCCAGCATTTTCTCAAGATTGGAACGATTTTTCCCGAACATTGTTGAGTCTTTTTATTTGAAATTGGAACACTTTTCCCAACGAAGATTGACATTGGGCACGCCTGTTCCTTGTCCGTGGTTTGCCACGTCTGCATAAACGTTAAATGTAAAAATGTGTAACAGTTCCAAAGATATAATAAAACTATTTTTCAAAAACTATATAAAATATAATAAACCTAATTATTTTATATTAAATATAAAACTCAAAGAGAAATATTCGATTAAACCATGGAGGAATAAGAACGGGTTTCGCATTTCCATGTGTGAAGTGAATGGCAGTTGTCCATTCCGAATCCGTAGAATCCGAACTTTCAGTTCTGTATGCAGTGGTCCAAACTAAGAAAAACTTGAGAAATTCAAAATTACAATGCCGCTAGTTCAGACACTCTATTATCATTATGGTCGACACAGACGACGTGGGCCCGTTTTTTAATCAGCATAAACGTCCCAAAAGGCAGCAGAGTCCTTTGAAGTAGTGAAACAAAAACAGAAAAAGAGGTTAACTGAGACAGAAAGGTGCTTTTCTTGAGGTTTATATTTTAAAAAGGGAGTCAGGTTGGTGTACTGGCTTTCCTTGCCTTCCACCTCTGCGACCTGGGTTCAAATCCAAATTGCTACCGGTAGTAGGTCAGCATGTGAATTGGGTTTTCAGTCCCTACCTGATTCTATTGGTTTTCCTCGAAAAATTTTGTTTTCTTAATTGTCACATCATCCTGTAATTGGGGCTAAACTGCACTTGGATGGACAGATACAAACAAATAAATAGATAAAAATCCACTGCAGCCAGCTACCATTAAACAATAATCAACGGCGTTTGTAGCTGTGTATCTTTCTGTCTTTTTCAAAAATTTCTCAAACTTTTCTTTCTTCTGTTGATTTGTTGAGTTGTCCAAACCAAGTTAGCAGGAATATTCTTGGCAAAAGTGTAGCGACAGCACGAAAACACTAGTTAAAAGAGCGCCCTCTTTTGACGAGTGATACATGACTGGTGCATTGCATCTGCACAACGTAATTACTTGGGACAGGAAGTATGGAAACCAGCTCATCTGCTCACTGACCTTTAAGTTGACCTCAAGTGGCGCGCCAAATTATAAGTTTGGCGCGATAGTTTCATTCATCCGGCCGGCTGCAACACGAATGTGTGTGCGCACTATTAAAGTAGGCTTATCGTATCTTAGCTGTGCAGATATCCAGTTTCGACAAATCAGAATACAAAATGGTCAGGACAAAGGCAGACAACTGTGCCAGAAAGGGTAGGTTTCGTGGACTATAGTGATCATGCTTGGAGTGGTGATGTTCAAGGGAGTAGTCTAGGCCTACGTTTTGTGACGTGTTTGTCATGTCACTTTTGTCTTTGTGTGTCTGAGTCATTTGTGAATCATTTGTGAATGACATGAGTGTTTACAGTGTTCATTACCTTTAGCTCCCTGTTCCTGTAATAAGAGAACAAATTCTACTTTTTCGAAACAACTTATCTAAACAAGTTTTTGGTGACGTCCATATCCAAGATCATGACAAAAAATTTCATCTAAATATACCAAATACCTATGCTGTTATACAGTATTCTCTTCAACAAGTCTTATCTGATTCTGACGATCTAACATTAAGTTAAAGTAGGCCTGTTGACATTGTCAGTTATTTTACCATATCTCTTTGAAGCTGTTGCAGCCAAGGCACCACGGAAAAATTTGGGTGTGAGTAACAACACAGCAATGAAAGCTGGCAGCTCAATGAAGTCTCCTGGTAAGCACATCTTGGAGTTTTCTTTGGCAGAGTGCTAAAAATATAGTTTTTCTTCTCGCTGATTGTCACCCGCTTCCCTTTTCCCTACCTGCCTTTTTAAAAAGTTTCTCTTTGACGTTTCAGAATAATTTCTTTAATTTGTGATATACAGTGATATACTTGTAGGTCAATATGGAAATAGATGAACACAGCATGTAAAATGTCGAGTACATGAAATAGCATAGACTAGCTCCTTATAGCAAGAGTATATGTGGAAGCAAAAAACCTAACATCTTGAATAAAAGGCAGTGGAATTGACCAGTTCACTGTCCTAATATGTTTTTGCTGTAGTACCGACACAGCAACTGAACATGTGCAGTGTTTTTGGATACTTTCAAATTATTTCCATAATAAATCTTGCTTATAAAACACGCTGACATTGTGAATGTGTATTCACAAGATGGAATTAGGGCCTAGTGAAATTTTGAAATTTTTTCCCTTAAAAAATTCTCCAGAGCTCAAACCACAAAAAGAAAACACACATCCTACACTGTGTTTTAGGAACCAATTTACAAAATGAAACAAATAATCTTTTGATTTTGGGGGGGGGGGTTAAAAAAAAATCACCAATGTCCACAACGGCTGAGCATTGAATCCAAATTGGATTGGATGCCGGCATCTCGAAAAAACCCAAAGGTGTGGCTGGATGATGGCAAAATATGCACTTTGGGGGAAAAAGGACAGGAAAGGGTCCGCCGTGAATTTCTTGTCCATTTAAAATCCTGCATGTAAACTTTTTTTTTTACCTTGGTCCTAATATTTGCTCAGTCTCATTTCACTGTTAAACTGAGTTTTTGTAAATTGAGAAAAGAAGTAAAAAAATTCACAGAGCAGTTCTTTTGTGCTAATCAGCTGGCAAAAAAGGCAAGTACCGAGGAGGGAATCCGGTCTGCCCACGACCAACGCCAGAGTGGCAGAAAGAAATCACCAATTTCATGATCAGGTCGCCAAGGAGTGCCACGAAACAAAAGGAGAACGTCGACCCAGAGGATGGGGAGACTTCGGTAGAGGCAGGATGCAGCAGCAAAGAGGACAGGTGAGAAGGGGAGATGGGTTTGGGCAGGGAGAATAGAATCAGAGTTGACTGGGATTTTGATTATGCAAGCAATGAGATTTGTTTCTGAGAAAATGTTTCCTAATTTCTTGAAAGTGGGCAATTCGACAATGTTAACAAGTCTCCTGACGGGTTGCACCTCGATTTTTCCTCAAATTTTCCCCTGCCTTTGATTCACGTTAAATCCAATCCTTTTCATTATTGCATTGTTACCTGGATAAAGCCCTGCCGTGTGTAAATTGTGTGAAATTTTGTAGTGTCGCAGACATGACGCCTGAAGGTCACAAAGGTGTTGGAACTTGAGCGCAGAATCAGTCAATGGAAAAGTACCTTCTGAACAGTGAAAATGACCTAGGCACATCTGATTGACTCACCAGGGCGGATGCATAAAAGCTACTAGCTGGTAGCCTCCATGGGCATGCTTGTTATATCCTGCTGTAACTGAGTAAGCAGGGTGGCCTTGTGCTCTGCACTATTTTGAGCATGTGACTACAGCTTCTCATTGGTAGTCCTCAGAGCCCGGGCTAAACTTCCAGAACTGACTTCAAAATGACAATTTTTTTCCTGTTTACACAGGACCGCAGTAGCACAGGATAGCAACAATAGTAGCAGGGTAGAAGACGACACAGTTCCAGACATCGAGGAGACTGTGGACGACGACAATGAAACGGACATGGAAGCATGCTCCTTGGGAGCATCATCGTCCAAAGCAAAATTTAAAAAGAATAATTGCATCAGCGACAGTGAAGACGACGATTGAGTTTCCTTCAGAAACATTTCCTTCTGTGTAAAGATTTGTCCATTCTTTCTGATGCTAGTTAACTTTCTAAACTGAAGACCCAATCAGCTTTCTTCTTAAATTTACGACAGCATTGCAACTAGGCAGACAACTTTTGGCATTGAAACAAAAGGATCCCTTTTTTTAGACCAGAACTGACAGGTGGTTTACAGTTGTCACTGTTTAGAAATCAGTGTTTTTTTTTCTCAAATCATGTTACACATCACATGTACACCCATTCTCCCACCGTAGTTGTGGGGACATACATTCCATATTTCAACTACTTTGTGGCGACCAAAAACATGGGGACAAAAAAAATGTCCCCACAACTCAGTCCACATTTGGCTAACAACAGAACTTGTTGCTATCTTGTGTTGATGACTGGCAGACTTTTCACAGAAGTTGAATATGTCACAGTTCAAGTTCTTTTCAGCTATGCAATTATGACTTTTGAACAATGCACTCTCTTGAATTGAGCATATTTTTGATATGCTAGAATAAATTGATTCAAAATACGTGTAACCTGTTGAAACAGAAAGACTAATTCTGTTGTGGTTTGTTAGGGTATTAGAAGTTATGAATTTTTTGTGTAGGTATCTTGAAGACGACACTTTAAATAGATTAGCGTGATACTTATATTTTTTTTTAATGTTTCTAGATGCAAGAAATGCTCAGGCTTATTGTTTACTTCCAATTCCGAGCCTTTTGTTTAATTTGGTTGCAAGATAAAAGCAAAATACCTCCAAGAGCAGGTGAGAAGTAGAGACGGAAAATCATAAAAATGATCTCTTCTTACTCACTTCATAATTTCAGGCCAGAAAACTCGTATCAGTGACACAAATTTCTGCCTCGCTGTTCCACATGATGTGCCTGGAGTTCTCAATCTAATAGTATTGTACATAAATGTTACATTGTACAGTTACGTTCAATAAAAGAATTGTTGGAAGAACAACAGTGGCCGAGTGATTTTCATTAGCTAGTTTAGACTTGGTGTCCATGACAGCATGTAGTGTTTTGAAAGCTGGAGGAAAATAGGGACTTTAAATTTATATTAGGCACGAGAATGCTACTCTGAGCCTGGGTACCAAACATACACAAAACATTGCTGCTGACAAACTCTTGTAGTGGTTGATAAAACCTTATTTAAGGAAAATTAAACTAATCCAAGTAAGTGTGAACTACATTTTTATTTGTTGTAACATTGATTAGTCTTTCTAAATGTAATGCGTTTGGTATTTCCTGAATAAAGCCTGTATTTAAAAAAAATAGCAAATTGAACATCAATAATGTTCACTTGCTTCTCAGTGGACCATTTTTAAAGGCAGTCTCTTCCACAATGAGTTTCACGTTTCCAGGACAAAACACAAGTTTTGGAAAAAAAAAGTGAGCTCGTATTCAACCAATTTGTATGTAAGGCAGATGAAATTAAAATATTTTCAGCTTTGTGTGCATATATTTGCATATAAGTTTTGCATAAGAACTATGAATAATTTGCATTATCAAAAACAACAGAACAATATATCTACATTAGATGGTAAAATGATCCTTGGAACATGTAGGTAGCTATAGAGTTGTTCCCTATTTTTCTCCAAACTGATGATACTGCTGAAAAGTATTTTTCATGACATCCTGAAACATTCCAGATTAAATCCCAAAGCCAAGGCTCAGAAAATAACTTTGTTCTTGGAGGCGGATTCCTTTCCCCAGAAGTTGAACAACGCAACAGATGAAATGACATGCTGTGAAGTACAAACACACGTTTGTTACTAGAAGATGAACTGAAGATGTATTTATCATAGATGTTAGGAAGACCAGAAACAAGATTTTTGTCCACCCAGACTTGGTCCGAACTTTTCTCGTATACAAACCATCTCCTTGATGTGGTGAAGGCCTACCCGCACATTTTGTTACCTACCTGTAACATTCCTTTCTTCTCATGCAGTTCAGATTTCCAATTTTTCTTGAACAGCAGAAATATTTTTAGCTGGATTTTTGTTGCTGGTCTCCTTAGCTATTCCACTTCCTTTTGCCACAACAACCCTGAACCAAAAATGCCTCTAAACAGACTTTTACAAAAGGGGAAATAATAATAAAAAATATTTATATAGCGCACATATCCATCAACCATGGTGCTCAAGGCGCAGTATTATCATTATACCTGCCACAGGGCTCACAACAACTGAACATTCCTGAAACCATCTCGGCTCCCTGGGAAGTATACCAGTACTAGCTGATGCAGCCCTATCAGGCATACACGGCTAACATAGCCTCACAGGTACCCATTTACTCCTGGGTGGAGAGAGGCACATAGGGGTAAAGTGACTTGCCCAGGATCACAACATGCTGCCACCAGCTGGATTCGAACCCCTGACCCTATGATCAGAACCTACAAACCCTAACCACTAGGCCACATGCCCCCCAAAAGCCTTGTGTGGACCAGGCTCAGTCCACACAAGGCCTCACACCACCTGCATTATTTGTTATCAGGTTCATACAAAGGATGGCAAGGTTTACACTCACAAACTGGCACCATAGTTCACGGGGGGTTACATTTGTTAATCGACAGTTGTTGTGGGGACCAAATTCGTTATGGGGACAAAATTTATGGGAACAAATTTTATCTCTCTAACTCGGTCCCAAATTTCCTTGGGGAAAAAAGGTCCTTCAATGTGGTACTGACTAGGGCTGTGCAGTTGACACAAACTAACGATGTAAACAACACCCACAGCCGGTACATTCAATTCACTTGCATCATTTTTATTAAAACATCCACAAAGTTTCAATAATTAATCATAGTTTTACCTTTTAAATAAACCACAGATGTTGTTTAATTACTCGCTATGAACAGGATTTTCATCAAAGTGAGAATTTTCTTTGTGGAAATAAGCTGTCTTAATCACATCTATATATGCCAGGTTAAAAATATAGCACTGATTAAAAAAAAAGAAGACATTATTCATGTTCTGGGTAAGAATACAGCACTACTTGCAAAACTGCACCAAAAAAAAGGAGATCTTCATTACACCAGTGAAATGTCAAACTAAATCACATTGGACAACTTCATAGAATCTATCAACAGCCAAATAATTTGAATGCTATATTTTTAACCTCACGTTAACTCTCATTGCCAAAAACTAACTAACTTCTGTAAAATGGAACTTCTTGTCCCATTTGTTTCTTTTTGTCCCCCGGTTTTTCTTTTTGAACAATTTTTTCATTTCCACTACAGGGCACCTTCACTGCACACTACGGTACATAACATCTGTACCAAATCAAATCATCCTTTAATGCACCAGATAATGTAATCCAGAACATATGTTGATCAAAACATTCGCACCCAAGCCACTTTCTTCGGAAAGTACAAAAATCACACCCCCCATCCTAAACTAAATTAAAGTATGTTGCCTCGACTGAGCCTTGGGCTGCGGATTATTCCACAACCGGCTCTTTGGTCACCAAAAGTTCTCAAGTGCTCAGGCTTAAAATGCTTGAGAAGCCGGGATCAGTCCACCGGTATCCTGAGCATCAACTACATGTAATCAAACCTGAATCACTGCAGGTTTTTGAACATCTCAGGCAGACAGTCCCTCCTCCTGGGGATATCATAAATCTGCCGGTGATCTACATTATTTTCTTGAGAACAAACTGACAGAGCGAAGTATACCTCCAACTACAACGCCTCTAAACTGCGACAGTTCAAGCTCGTTTAGCATCCTTCCCTTTCAGAAAAACTGCCATTTCTCACTCCTTGAGAGGTACCACTGTGGCAATGAATTCATTACATGTGCAACCAGGTACTTACAATCTTTGTAGGTTATATTTACAAGTAGAAAGATTTCCGTGTTTTTTTATTAACAAAGGGAGCAATTTGTGGAGAGCATACTCCCGCTATGTTTAACTTACAGCTATTTATACAGTCAACAGAGAAACAAAAATCACGTCTTAGTTCCTTTACTTTAAAACAAAGATTCATTTTTGTATCTTTTTTTACAAATTAATCTGTGGACACAATTACTTTTAATCGTAAACACAGACATAGACCGAGTGTAAATTGATTTCTGCTTTTCAGTAAAAATACTTTCTAAAGCCAATGCAAAGTGAAAAGTGTAGTTGAGAATAGGTGCAATGACTTGGCAAACACTTGACATGTACAATACTTTAAAACAAAAACTCCGGATGACCTACAGAAATGCTTCTCATCAACAAAAATATACAGGGGAAATTGCCATCTCTTTCAACTATTTCATACTAAAAAAGAGAAAACAATTCTTCAGGAAACTACGACACACAAAACTTAAAGATGGGGGAAACTTTGCAATGGGGTCGGAACAATACTTAATCAATGATGCAGGCAAGGCGTCGATTGTCGAAGAATGCTTTGAAACAAAAGCTGCCACGAGAAAATTGTCGTGGGTATAGTGCCATGCAGATTTATTCCTGTGTTGAAATCATGAGCAAGAACTGGCCCCAAATGGCCTCACTTTGTAAGCAGGCAAGATACATGAAGTCACCAAGTCATGACAAGCTTCATGTACCTGTTTTATTATCTACAGGGTGATTAACAGGTTTTTCCACCAAAGTTTTTTTTTGAAAGCTTGATTATCAGTTGTGCCCTGCAAATAAACTTTTCCCAACGATTCAAAGAAAAAGTGGAAATGTAACAGGAACAAAGCCCAGTGTGCTCACATTTTGACTGTGACAAGACTGACCATCTGTACTGCGTACAATATCTGGTGAGCATATGTGAGTTTGGGCACACTGCTGCAAGCCGTGTTGGAAACAGGCACTGTCCCTGTGGCTACAGCTGTTCACTGTAATTTAACTAATGGCAAAATCTAAGCCACAGCCTTAAGACAGCTCAATACCATGCAGACTTATAGTTTCTGATTTTTTACTTCATTTTCAAAACAAAAATAGCTATTTGTTTCTCAGTTCACAGGTTAATTGCAGCAAAACTTGAAAGGTACACAACAAAAATTATTTCAACAATGGGAAACAATGGGAAAAAATTATCAGAGACAAGATTTGATGCTTTTCATAGCCTTTCATACTTGGGCTACATTATGGCTCAGAGTGGACAGGGAAGATGAGGAAATAACATGACAGACATCAAAATGGCATCGAGTGTACTGCACTTGCGCTTTTTCAGTGAACCACATCACAAAAAAACAACAAAACAAAACAAATAAAAAACAAACCATTTTTCAATACAGAATCTCTAAACGCACACTGAGACAGGAAATCAACAAGGACCCAAGCACATTATAAGAATGCCGACATCAAGCCAGAATATATTACTACGCTATTTGCACAAGTCCACCATTACATTTTCCCCGGAAGAAAAGTTCACCAGTGTTTTTTCTTACAGTTACTCTGTCCTGACTCGCTATGATTGTTTTACTCACCACTGCCAATATGAAAGTCACAAGGGTTCCCGGAGTACAGTAGTAAAAAAAAATTCAAAGCAGGGCTTTTTTTTTCTTATTTATTTCTACAAAGTATAACAACCAACATCAACACTTCTTCCTTTCTGTCACTGGGTATAAAAAATGAGATTCATAACTCCTGTTTCAACTCACTCAAGTCCATAGAAAAAAGTTACGCAAACTAGGCGTGGTCAAGGGTCTGGTGGGCGGGGTCGAGGTGAGGTAGATCCTTTGTACATGGTTTAAATAGGGAATCTGACATGCATTTGTGCAAGTCAGGAGAACAAGTGGGTGGAGGGGAATGGAGGGACAGGGAAGGGGGGAGTGCAGATTTTAAGTGTCTTTGACCTGTCTGTGCAATTCCTCTTCACACCGCTACAAGACAAGACCTGACTTCCAAAAGAGCCCATTTGGCCACATTTCACTCATTTAAATAAAAAGCCCTTTAAGCATTAACACATGCATGTAACCCTTTGCACAACTTTGCAAAGATGGTGCAGTTTTATTTCTTGAATAAAGGGGTGAAATAGAGCTGCAGGGGCAGGGATGGGTGGAAGGGTGAGGATCATGGGAGTGGAGATAAGGACAGTATGGAGCAGCCAGTTGAAATGTTTCTATGACTTCAACTACAAATCAGGGCAACGAGTCTAGGTACATGCAAGAAGTGAAGCTGGAGTTACACACTGGAATTAAGAGTAACAAGTGCTTATTGTTGAAGGACTGTGATTGATGGGTAGCTGCAGAGCAACGAACACTTGATTCAAAGCTCATTCACAGTCATCTCCAATTCTAGTGTGTTACTGTTTGACAATATTGATTTTCCAAATCAAATAAAATCATTCCTGTTGCAGGAAGGAAGGACCTCCGCGGATAACAATATTCACTCAGATTTACATAAAACAAAAGCACCGATCAATGCACCTTTGCCGAATGATTAACGGTCAAAGTCTGATCTGAGCTGGGAGTGCACTGCTGCCAGTTTGGCTGCTGTGATGGGCTGACATGTACAGTTGCAAGGTGGTGCAGTACATGCTATCTGCAGCCCTCTCGAGAACATAAAAATCAATAGTGTGCATTTTGTTTGGTGGCATGAAGCAGATTGACGATGCGAGTAAGATGTGCAGCAGACATGTAATAAAAAGTAAAGAAGAAATTAAGTAAAATGCAATAATTACTACGAAACTGTTTCTGGCAAATGGAATAAAACAAAAACAGGCTGATATCCATGATTGACTGGCTAGCCACCTCAGGGGACGGGATCTATTCTGCGAGTTTGATCTGAACGGGTTGGTGTTCTGATGCCACATGTGTGTGTGACAAACCTCGGAGGGCACACTCCATGATTTCACAGAGATTGCAAAAATATTACACTTTAAAGACAAAAGAAGGCTACGATCAGATGTCACTTGACGCTTGGGCTTAATTACATTGTACAAACATGCCAACAAACCACGAAGGCCAATTAATGCACACAGTGAAAGATAACTTCAAAGAAACGATTCCCCATTTTTCACGAAACTTTTTGCTTAAACCTAAATTTTTTTCACTCATGACCACTCCCATGTTCCATTTTCCCTTTTTTTTCTTTGAACTCCTACCTTATTCTAATGTTTTAAAACATGAACATCCAGTGAATGGAAACGCAACGCAACGTAAAACTCTCTTAAACACAGGACTCTGACCCGGGACAGGTAAAGACATTCAAGTGCAAGTACAGGACTCAGCACCTCTACATTCCCCTCCCCCATTTTTTTTTAGCTATTGTTGCTTTGCTATCTGCGGTTTGAGTGCAAAACAAATACCAACACATTTTGAAAAATCCTTGCACTCTCTCCTCTGAAAGTTACTGAAGTGGGTGCCGGGTTGCAATTTAAGCTCTAATATTTATTATTAAACAGAATGGGCCTGCTGGATTTTCAGGGAGTAACATACTATAGATCAAGGTGAATATTGTGTGACCAATCATGACCCTTAAAAGCTCAGGTGAGGGGAGAGAACTACGGTAGACCAGCCAGCTTCTAAACAGCACCTGGAACACAGACTCAAGATCTAGTGTGCTTGGATGCAAAACATGTTCGTCAAATATTATCTTGCAGTGCACCGAATTTTAAAACTCCACACATCCTTCTCCTTCAATAACATGTCTTTCATATGCGTGGACTCGCGGGGGGAAACAAAAATGTACATCATTCCTTCATCAACCTTAACTTTTCGTCATAGGCAGTTTCTTTCACCTCTTATGATGAGACATCTCAATCAGCTGACACATTTATACCTCCTGCTGTCTTCTTCTCTTGCACAAACTGAACAATTACCGATCCAAACAGGTCAAAGCTTCACTGCCCAGCTGTGACACAGATCACTAACCATCAATGCACCCCGGTTACCAGTGAAATCATATTGCTGTGCCAGCAACTTTTGCTGGTATCCAAACCCTTTCGGCTTATCAATTCTATTATCTAAGCAGCACCGCTTGCTGATTTAGGGCTGGTTCATACTTGCTGCGTTTGCACAATCAGCGTGTAATGTGAACAAAGCAGTTGACGTTCATACTTTCATGTTTTTGCAAGTCTCGGCTGCGTGTGAATATCCGACAAAAGTTACAAATTTCGATTTGTCCGAATATGCATACATTTGGTGCGTACGCACTATCCATTATAACTGCGTACAAGGGCACGCATTTTCATTACGCACTGCGCTTTCGTTCACGCACTGCAGACAACTCAAAATAGACCTTTGCGCTGTGTACACAGTGAATACGCAGCGAGTATTAACCGGCCTTTAGATGGCACAAGTTGAAGCACTTCCAGAGAATGAGGGATTCAATCATACAAGCACCCAATGGCAAACAGGGCAAAAAAGGGTGAATTTTTGGTAACGGGAAAAAAAAGGGACACCAAAAGATCTGACAGCAACAAGTACGCAGAATCCTGCTGGGCGGACGTCGAGCACCACAAGCAAACAGCGCGCAGCTACGAGAGAACAGAGGGAGACGCTGGGAGGGATTGTGGGAGTAGCAAGAGGATGGGGGAGGGCTATTTGCGACAAGTGGGCCTCTTCTTCTTTTTCCTCCTGAAGAAACAGCAACACCTGTCAGGGAAACGAAATAAGAAAGTTGAAATTTGAAAGTTGGAACTACCAGTTCAAGCTGAAAACCCCCCCCCAAAAAAAACAAGCCAGTTCGGTATTCCAACAGTACATGCCAAAACTGAAGCACGTCCAAGCTTTTAATACACGCAATTGGACAACATGTAATTTACACTGGCAAAAGCAATGGTGAACTTACTTTGTGTCGTCGGGCGAGTCGATTTCAGGCTGCGGGGCGATGGGCACCTCGGACCGGCGATCTTCCGGTCCCAGCTCCCCATTGGTGGAGCTCATGACCTGAACGGAACCCCGCTGGTCGGCCATGGCCACGGGCGGGGCTAGCTTGGCCGTCTGCTCGGGCCAGGCACGTGCGGTTGGTGGTTGCTGCTCAATACAAAAAGTGGGGGAGAATGACAGAAAGGTTTCAAAAGTTAAGTTTTGCCCTTCACTTAGGAAATTATGTTACACAGTGCATTCTCACAGCATGTGAAAAGAGAAATCATAACCTGCCGAGGTGCGACTCAAACCCATGACTTCCTACATGCTAGGGTAGACCCCCTCCAAAAAAAGCTTTCTAATAATTTTCTAATAATTTCTTTCTAATAAAGTTCTGAAGTGACTATCTCCCTCCCCTCTGCTGTCATCCCTTAAATGCAGTGTCAACATTTTCACAGTATCTCGCCTGGGGTGGTCTGGCTGGTACATTGGTACCCTGCCTCCCACCTCTGAGACCAAAGTTCAAACCCCACCTGATACATCAAGTAAATTGACTGCCTGCATCTTCCCCCCAGAATTCTGTCTTGAGGGGGTGTTCTCTTACATCTTAAAAACAGACATTTCCTTTGTTAACTTCTCCCAGAGGCTACTAGTAATCCAGTGATAAATGCATTTCGAGGGTCGTTGGATATGAATAAAACAAAACAACCACTGGCACAGATTCTACATCTTAAACTTCCACTTGTCTGCAATAAGTAAATTACGAGTGACCTCTGCCCTTTGTTCACTTTGAATAAATATCTCCTCCAGAGTCTTTGGAGTATTGGATATTTTATCTTGAGACTTCTCCAACCTTCACAAGACTGCTACTCATCACATCACAGAGACAAAGCTCTCTCCCAAAGTCATGTTAAAACACTTGTAATAGTCAATCGTAGGAGTCAGAAGGACACACACACACAGTGGACCATTCTAAACCTGCAGGATGCCAATGTTGGTGAAACCATGAAACCACATATCATAATAACAATTCTGAGTGCGGAGAGGCATTCAAAGCACTCTGGAGGCTGAAAACACTCCAGTGCAGCACCTCGGCAAACGGCTCACTGGAAATGTCCGAGAGGTTGGGATTTAGGTACCTTTTGAGCATAGCGTGCTTTCTCTCGCTCCCTCCCTTGAGGATTGGCATCTTTGGACTGTGACACTTCACTCGCAGTTGTGGTGACATGTGATGTCTGGAACAAAGGGAACCAAAAAAAAGGAAGTGGTCAATAACATTGTAACTAGTGATATACGGATGAGAAAACTGCCTGAGTTACCGACGCGACTTCCAAATGCACGACATAAGATATCCTAAGGACATTTTGCTGCTGAGAATTTCTGTGAGTTTGAAAACTTAAAGAGCTTAAGAGGAGGAAAAACAGGTCATGTAAAGAAAGTAGGCCTGCATGTATGTACTGATGACATCACGCTTTCTTTGCACGTGTACTTTGATATGGAGCCAGTGGAGGCCCACGATACACTGAGCATCATAGGAAAGCACACACATAAACACAATATGACATCATCAGTACAGACGTCTATCCTGTTTGCAAGTGTGACATCACTTCAGTTTAAACCACACCCACTGCACATGCATTGCACATGGAGTTACATGCATTAATCACCGTTTACATCGAACTATGGAACGGGAAGTTAACGCGCAACTTCAGCCATCGTCCAACGAAGTCACGAACGAATCGGATTTGGAATCTTTAAATCCTTTTAACATTCCCTTACACGACATTTAAACAAATCATTTTTGAAAAACAAAAGGCCGGTCTGGAGATGCATCCTGCCAATTTTATCACAGGAAGCAGACAGACAAAGCTACCCTTCCTTACCAGCTGTTTGCCCGTCCAGTCAAACTCTGTCTCCTGGCCGAAGCCTTTCCTGTCATATAGGTCCTGGAAGAGCTTCCTTAAGTAGTTGTAGTCGGGCGTCTCAAAGAAGTCCAGTCTGCGGACGTAGCGTAGGTAGGTTGCCATCTCATCTATGACAGGGGGAGCAGTGGCAAGCATTCAACAGGGCACCAGACCAAATGTCAAACAAACAAGGGGTACTGTCAAGGTTGGACGGTGATAACTTTATGCAGGGCATAACCACTGTGACCAAACTACTGTGCTTTACAGTTCAAACTTAGCGGTGCTACAAAAGGGTATCTTCTCAGTGCTCTCAAAAAATAGTGAGAAAGAGTTTGTGTCTGGAGTTTCATGTAGTTTGGGTTTAAAGGGCTGTGACACCGACTGCACAGATACAACAGTATGTTTCAGTCAAGTCTGACCTCAAGTAGATAAACTGCTGATTAGTGAACCTGACCATAAGTAACAGGAATGAACTATGTAGGCCTATGCCGCATACCCGTCCATATCAAAACCTGGTTCCATTTTTTCAGGCCAAGTACCCGTAAAAAGTTCCACAGATAAAATGCACGTGAACTTTAATAGTGAAAGGCAGATTTGCTGAAAAACCATCGTGCCGTTGAGAAACCCACGGTCATAACTCCAGTTCAGAGACTGACGGAGCTACTTTTGTTACAAATTAAAGGTAACAGTTGGTTGAATAAAAAAGTGGGGGAGATTCCCTCTAACAATTAGCACAATGTACTGCTTCCTACATCTGAAAAAGATGCCTGTTTTGCTGAGATTGTATGCAATGCCAATTGTAAAGGGTACCTGGGTACCAGGTACTTACATAAAATAGGTACCTGGATCCAAAATTACCCATAAACACACACCCCTCCAACTATGGCAAAGGAATACCTCTGCGAGCAGCATATGACTTGATTGAAGACTGCATGACTTGTGTATTGGCTTGTGAGGACTTAAAAATACTTCTGAGGACTTAGGGATACTTTTCGGGACTTCCATGGACTTTTGAGGACTTATGGGGACTTGTACGAAAGTCAGCTACAAGACTGCATTTGAGGAATGTGTTTTTGGCCCTCAAAGAGGACTCCAGAACTAAGGGGTGAAAAGGCTTGGCAGACGAAAAAAGTTGCCGAATTGAGAAGAGGAGATTAAGGCATGCAGGCAAAGCACTGTGAAAATTACATCCTTCCATATCTGGTTGGATAATGAAAGCCCAGCCAGCATACAAGCTTATTACTGATATAATGCAGCCACAGATTTGCCAGGCGAGGATAAAATGACAGGCATTTCATAGGGTCCAACATACCGACATAGTTTTCACATAGAACTTCGATAGGCGTCGCCCTCTTCGTGTCTCCAATTTTCTGGTATCTCTCCTTGAGTGTATCGGCCTGTAATCAGAGGAACAGAAAAAATACATGTAAGTTGGGTTAAAATAGGTAAGTGCTGTGCATCATCTCTGATTTTGCCAAGAAAGTGTAGTCTCGGGAATTAAGCAGAGACAGTAAGAGGGCAAAATAAGCCTTGGTTCTTTGATCAATTTCATGAAATTAAACAAGCAAGCGAGAAAAATATCTAGGAAATAACTGTCCCCCCCCAAAAAAAAGAAGTGATACATTTGCCTGGTAATTTGTTCCACGAAATTATTTCTGTCGTTATGCAACCTCTGCATGAAGGAGTCTCATGAAAGTACACCATTGTGTTGCGAGTAAACAATTTGATTTCTGTGAGGGGGGTCACGGAACCATTCTCTGCCCCGGGAGAAAAGCAATTCCGATGGCCAAAATGCCCTCAAAGCGTGCTTAATTCTGTGGCGTAAATGAAGCAGCAGGAAAATATACATCCGATAGAAACTGGTGATGTGTAGCTCTGCATTGCTTGTAGTGTCTGATGAATAAACAAACGTATTAACATGCTCTCTCTGCCCTCACGGACGATCACATTTTCAATGGTAACAGCCCCGTGCCCTGTTGACTCAAGACTCCAGAAGCTGTAAGAATTCTGATCATGAAACATGGCCGTCATCACCAGACCATTACAAGCTTCGATCATTTCTGACCTCTCAAAGCACATCTTTAATTTCTTTCTTTCACTTCAGAATCCCGAGCATGCAAATCGCAACCCTTACACAAAGCCATCCACTCAACATCCTGAATGAGGAACATCTGCCCATCCTGATGCCAAGCCCAGCATTGCTGCACGTACACTGGCCCTGATATTCCTTGTATCGTGACACAGTAGAACGAGGTAGAGTCGGCAAGTCTGTGCGCAGTGGTTATTTGCGATAGGCCAGTAATTCGCATCAAGGGGCTAAGGGCACTGTACTTTCACTTGAAACCAAAATCATGACTTCGATTTCAAAGGGAGAGCTAATCCTTGCCAGTTTTAGTACATGCCAAAAGAAAAAACAAAAAAACCCAGACTGCCTCTAATCAAACCAGTTTATTAACCCTGACCCCCTAGGAACCATTGAAATCATGCGTATGTATGCTTTTTGGATTCAGAATGGTTTAGGGTTAGTGTTTTACTTGTTCATGTACATGTAATGTCAAAGGATTTACTTCATGTAATTAAGCTGGCAGTACAGCAGTAATACACATGCCTACCAATATAAGCTCCTAATTATGTACATGTACTTGAAAAAAGCAGGTGTACTGTATAAGAACTGCCCTTGCCAATAGCTGTCTCCTACCCATGTCCTGACACTAGCACAGACCACACAATCATGATCTTATGGGATGCGATACAGAGCAATATTAACCTTTGTCCAGGGGTTCTATAAAGCCATGCACCATATCGCAGAAGAAACAAATCTTTGTTACACTTCTGTTTGACTGTACCCATGGATCACAAAATGGATTCTACATACATCCTCAGGCACATAGCTACAATGTACACCACCTGGGCAGTAACATAAGACAACAGGATAATTTTAAACCTCCCCTATCTAGGATAAAATTTGGCTATTCAAAACACAACTCCACATTTGGCATTTGATGAGGTGAAGCAATGTGTAGGTGTTACAGGGCTGTGACATACATGTATAGGCCTACCCGTGAAAGGGGGCCCTAACTCCACCCCTAACCCCACTTAAAGCAAGAGAGGGAAGAACAGAAATTTCAATCCAACTGTCAACAGCACAGACTTTGTGTCTCACTTTTTTGAAGTAGACATCCTTAATATCGAAAAGTGACCGTCTGTTTCACCGGGCAGCAAACTCGTCGAGGGTTCAAGGTACATGTACATGAACATGCATAAATTTGATATCCATGCTATCACTCATTTTCAGAAGTATTAAAACGAATGAGATGGTTTATTATTCCTGCGCCCCGACAATAAACTGTTTCTGAGTGCAGAGGAAGCTGAGGCAAATTACACTCCCATTCTGGCAATATCGGGATGCACTGAACCGCACAGATGTACTGCGCTGCGCTGAAGCCTAACAGTAACAAATTTAGTCTCCTTGTTCAATGGTGTATCAAGAAATAGCGTACTCTACAGTGGGCTACTTATGCATGTAAAAATCATGTGTGTTGACATAAAACATATGTTCCAGCACTCACGTGTATTTGCCTCCGGCTTGATTTTGATGCCAGGCATCGTTTAGACCATTGTTCAGCACAAATTTCCAAACCTCGAGAAAACCCAGCAATACCGGTGCTAATAATCCTGCCTGGATTGTACAATGTACATGTACATGTATTTCATTGGCTTATGTCGTGAACTACAGCGTTTGCTCATTGTTGTGTGAAATACGGTTAGGATTAAAACGGGTGATGCACAGCCGCACGGTACAATGTGCGAGCACGGTGTGCCAAAATCTGGGTCAAAACATTCGTTGTCTAGTGAGCACAGCCTACCAGTACACTGCAATAAGAGGACTTGACATGTACTTTCAAAGGGGCTATGGTACTTGACTTCAACACAGCCAAAACAAAAACCAAGTAACACAGAATTGCAAAGGCATAAAACCCCCTGTACATATCCAACACTGGAAACAGCAGTGCCTGTTCTAAAATTGGAGAGAGAAAAAAAAACCTGGGGACAATGATCCCTACAAAATAAAAAGAAAAATCAACACGGTTGATAGATGTGCTTGGCAACTTTTACATAATGTGTACAGACACAGAAGTAGACATGTTTGACAAACTGTACTTCTCAGGCCAAGCAAACACTTGAAATGCAATATGGCTCCCACTGGATTGTAAGCCAATACGACAATCAATGGGATGTTGTTTTCTTGCCAGCGGATAATTCACATGCAAGAGGGGCTGTTCTATTAAACCAGGCTATATGATGGGACACAAATACATGCAAAGGCCAAGCGCTTAGTTAGGACGAGATGGCTCCATAGTCCATATGCCAATTCATGTACCGGTACATGTATTTGATTTGTCTGTGGATAATACACGTACATGTACAAGTGCTGCAGGAGAAAAAAATCGACAAAGCACTTTGGAAGCCGATCAGTGGGTGACAGAGATGGATGGCTGAGACAGTGCATGTGCACACGCGTGTTACTCAAATCTCCCGTATAAAGATTGGAAAACAGCTCAATGATATCCAGCTAATTTAGTTGTGTGTGTGTAGGGATCCCCAAGGATTTCCCCTTTGAATATTTCATTTGTGGTTTGAGATAAATTGCTTTGTCAGTACTGGCCGCATCATTCTCTGCCAACCTGTTACCAATCGTGAGTAACTCCCCTTCTCATCAAGAAACTTTCAAATAACTACACAAAGATTACTACTAGGGGAGTCGGGTTGGCGTAGTGGTTCTCTCCTCGCCTTTCGCCTCTGCGGTCCGGGTTCAAATCCTGGCCCGGTCCACATGTGGATTGGGTTTTCAGTCCCTACCTGATTCCGTGGGTTTTACCCAGAATATTCCTTTGGGGTTTTTCTCCCACCTTTTAAACTGTAACCGCTTCTCATTGTCTCCTCTCCACAGGTTTCTTCAGGCTTGCGAGCTACAGTGCCTAGGGTGCTTTTGAGGAATCCTTGGTGTCATTATCAGAAATAAATAATAATAACAATATGGATAACAACAAATATTGACATGCCACTGAGCATTTCCTAGAACTGTAGCGAAAAGCCAGAACACAGGAATCCAAAATCTCTGACTCTGTTTAAAAAAAAAACATCAAATACTGGTGACTCTCTGAGTCAAGGCAGTGACCCTGAATTTACTCTGCCAACATGCTGACTGCCCGGGCTTTCAAAATGTTTTTAGAGGCTGGCCCGAGAGAAACGGCATCAGGCCTCCTGTTACACCAGATCAGGGTTTTTTGTTTCGAGGAGCGAGCTGCCTTCTGTGATTGCGACATTGATAGTAATGACAGATGCAGCAATTATGTCACACTTGGAATGAAGGGGGGGGGGAAGGATGGAGGCTGTTGCTGATTATTCAGCGAACTATTTTTATCTTTCAGCCCAATCAGACGAGCAGGCAGACTGCGAGGTTAGGGGGTCTGGCATTTAGATCCATTACTCAAAATTTGACGAACGCCTCGGCATTGGATTGCCACAGTTGCTTCTGATGCATCAAATGCAATGCACTTCTGATTCCTCTGGGTCCTGAATCTAATCATTCAATTACAGAAATATCAGCTGAGACAACTGTGCATATAACGAAAAACCAATAGCCTTGAAAGTGTGCCGAAATATCAGACATTAAGGTCTTCCAAGTGTTGGTCTCATATCACTAAAAATAAATTCACTAAAGGTCTTCATTCACGAAAAGTACGAAAGCACAACTAATTTTCCAAAAATATATGTTTGTATTTTTTTTCCTTTAATTATATGTTCTTTCATCAAAACTGTACAGTAGTGCCGTTCAGTGTACACACATCTTGGGAGGCACCATAGCTGTGATGGGACCACATTCACACACATTTTCTTGAGCTTGACGTATGTACGGTATGCTTTTGACAGCCCTACGGGTCGCGCGCTTGACCTGTCCAGGAGCGTTGGGCCACCGCAGTAATGGCCCCTAATTCTGCTTGTTGAATTACATTATAACACTACATAGGACAGTTTGCTAACAAATTTCGCCAGTGAACAACCTGAGCTCTGGCAAGTTTCACATGTTACTGGCTGCACCGAGGGTCACATTCAACAAATGAAATAACGGGACATACATGACACGCATGGTTCCCCACCCGCATCACTGTCGATCAGACTTAGTATTGCAAAACAGAAGAACTGAACGTGCAATGGAAACACGATTGAATGGTCAGACACCGACTGCCCTTTCCTTGTGAGTACGGGTGTTTACTTCCTAACCACCAACCTGCCGGGGGACACCAAATCAGCGACGTGCGTGCTTGGCCACTCAATCTGCGAGTGTGTTGCGCCGAAATTCTTCTCCCCCCTCCCTTCTTTCTTCATCACATCAATGTATTCATTTTTCTTCGGGTTTGAGGGGGTGTGTGGCTGCTCGGGAAAATAACACACACAACCCACAGCAGACAACTGCTTGGAGGACTAGATCCTAGCGGCTGACGCATAGTTTATGGCAGTGTGATGGCCTGCCTACCACATTGTCAACCTTGCCAATTTTATCTTCGGGCAAGTTTCAAAATGTCAAACTTGTGTGAAATCGAAAAAGTAGTGGAATAGCCCCCATCCCTGCTTGAGAAACCTGGGCATTTGACTAGAAAGTCAGGGGTGAAAGGTAAAGAAAAACACACAAGTACAAAGAAAAACAGCTACAAACTAAAATAAAAACGGGGACTGTGATTTTTGTAATGTGCCTTTTCCTTGTGTAATGTGTACATGATGTGTAAAATTGAAGTAATCAGTTGATCTGGAGAAAAGTTCCATGCCTGAAAACTGAACAGTGTCATTACGCATGCTGACCAATGCAACTCTGCAACAAATTGGCAGGGGGTCAAAAATACTGCAAAAATACTCTGCAACTAATTGGCAGGGTGTCAAAAATACATAGGAATGTACGCACGCTGCTGAATACATTCTACTCTGGCCATCCACATCACATGCTTGAGTTTATCAGTGGAAAGGACCTGATCATGTAATCATAGAGCCATTGCTGGATGCGATTCATACAAACTTGGTTGGAATGTGATAACTGTCACAGCCTTAAAAAAACAACACCACTGCACGAGAACATTGATTTCAGGTAAAAACTAAACAACCGTGGCGAATGAACCTCTTGTGTGGGGCGAGAGCGGAATTACATGGCACAAAACTGCTTGAGGGAAAAAATGTGCTCAGACAAGTACCGAGTCAATTTTGCTGCGTCATTATCGGCTATAATATGATTGGACGTATCTCAGGGGCAGAGACTTTCACGATCAGAGTCTTTGATAAGTCCAGTAATACGGCATATAATACACACAACATGTACAGGGGAAAAAAGGAGAAATGAGGAATCCAACTAACGCAGCTGCAGTATACTGGGAGGGGAGGAGGCTCCTAGGCATTACGCACAGTCTTACATAAAAACTGTTTCTGTGCCAATGCCCTTGTCCACAAATTTTCAGACATTTTCACTGAGCACCTTTACTTTTGGTGGAATAGTCAGATATATATATTATTACAAATTTATTTTTTATTTCACAAGATTGAGAATGTACACAGAACCTTGGGCACGGTCTTGAAACAGAAACGCACGCAGGGTGTAGACGAAAATGAAACAACACTGATTAAAAATTTTTAAAAATGCGACGCCCTGTGTCTGTTGTAATTTCAACCAATGCGTGTGATGGTTAGCATCCCCCCTCCCATTCTTTATTTATATCATCTTTTTGAGCATACAAGCCGGTGAGGAGGTGACGGGCTGAGGGGCTGTGTGCTCTTTGTTTTTCCTTTTCAGTTTGAATGCTACAGATGGTGAAGTCCAACAGAAAGAACGCACTTTTTATCAGTACAAGTGCAAAATGACGGGACAAAAAAGAAGAAGTACGACCCAAATGACGATGATAGTTTTTTACAGCAGCACAAATTCAAAGCCTCCAGGAAGGGCAAGTGAGAACGGACTGACGTGAAGCAAGTGAGGGTTGACGAAATGCTTCTGTCTTCCGACCAGTTATCCAACAATTCTGATCTCAAAATAACGTGAAACGAAGCAACTCTCTCAGAAGCACCCAGGTGGCAACTATGAAATACAGTATTAAATTAAAACCGGTGCACTGAAAATAACCACACAAAAAGGCAATAACACGTATTTTATCCTCAACACAGGGCAAGTTCACACGCCCATCACTTCTTACTGATGCACAAGCGCAGCACAGTCCCACTCATATGACCCTGGTCTTATAATTTTCATGAAATCTCATTGTAACTCACGTTTTGTTGTTTTGTGGTCTCTTGCCACGTCCAAAATTTGGCCAAACTACAGTCAACTTCAGTTGTCACTAAAACTTGGATCTGCCATTCTTAATAAGACATAGAGGATTCCCCCCCCACACTCAAGTCTTGTGTCCCCTTCCTTGAGGAAGAGAAATGGAACAGGTCTGGGAGTCTTACCTTCAGACCCTGCCAGGGCAGGCTGCCTCTGAGGAAGTACATGAACATGTGACCCATGGCTTCCAGGTCGTCCCGCCGACTTTGCTCTGAAATGATTGGACAGCAAAAAGAGGGCAAACTTGTGACAAAAACCTGAAGTAATGTGGTGGTGCAAGGTTGTTGGCTACCGGTATTTCACGGTCACCATCTTTCATTGCTTAGAAACAGAAGTTCCACAAACAACACATAAGCCTTGTACATGAACCTATTATTTAAACATTAAAAACATTCAAATTTGAATCTAATCTACATGTACATGCAGTACATCCAAAAATTACAACTGCCTTGTTTTTGTACAAAAAGAACGGTGTGAACGGTGAACAGGTAACGGTATTGACCTGTGAAAAAGTTACCCTTCTGTAGAAACTGAAAAAAAAAAACCACTTTGAATAAATGTATGAAACTGACAGCTTCAGTGCCTTCAGTTCAAAGTTTAAACCTACATTCACAAATGTATTGGTATATTACAGCGACCATACATGTAGATAAAGATATCACACTACATGTAAATCGCTAAAAATAAAACACAAGTTGACATCCGGTGACCCAGGGGATAAACTTGATGCAAATTTACGGCAGGCCGGAACTCAAATTCCCATGCGCAATTCATATTGCTACTGGCAAAGAACTCCGGGACCTTCATGTGTATTACAGCATGCGTGACCTTGAAGCACATTATGGCAGGTGCAGAAGCATTGCTCAAAAGAATGGGGAAGCCCCTCTCTCATCCCACACTACTCTCACACAATAAAATTTCTGAAACTTGTGACAACAGGTGCATATGAAGCAATGTGTACAATGTAAATTAAAATGATGCAGGTTACAAACGGGACTTTGAAATTCACTGCAATGAGCCTTGTGCCAGTTAAATTCAAATAAAGTCTGGTACACTAGGTTATCTGATTGTGCATAAACGTAACAATTTGAATTCCCTAGATTGAAGACACTGTTGCTATTGTGTCATTCGACCACCAGAATTAGAAGCCATTACTGAGGTGGCAAATTGTATTAGTCTATACCTTGTGATTTGGGGCAAGCTTTTGCATAGCGACCACCATCTCTGGAATGGACTGGTTCCTTTACGTCCTTCTTATCCATTGAAAACAGTGTACATGTACTGGTGCAAGGCATCTCTTATGTAAGTGACTAAGCAAAAGCATACCCAAATAATGAGGTACACTAACAGTGTCTTTTAGTGTGGAGAATTCAAATTATGTTCATATGAATCTAAAGAACTCCATGTACCAGATTTTATTCACAGTTAACTCCCAAACGGTTTATTGGAATCAGCTGTGCCAGTACATGTGCATATAGGTGTGCTGTTCATCAAACTGACACCCATGCAACATCACTCTCCCTAAATAAATTGTTCGCCCCCCCTCCCTCCAACACGTGTCCACGTGTAAAGCCTCTTTCATACTCCAGTGGAATTCTGACAGCACAATGGAGGCCGAAACCCAACCCGAAAGCTCATAAATGCCACGTACGTGTACATCTCCCGGAAAAAAAACCTCGGAGCCGGCGCAGGATGCTGGACCGCACTGAGGAATACCCCACGGACTGACAACAGCGTTTCATCTCTTCCCCCGCCACATCTGATCAAATTATACTGACAGGAACTCGAGCTATATGATCGGATAATCTTCCCCCAGTGAACTCAACCAAATCAAAAAGAAAAAAAAAGGAGGGGGGAGGGGACAGTGTGCATGTCTTAGGTCTGAATTTGTCGTTATTGTCGTCGATGAAGAGCCATCCGGCCTCGAATGCTCTCTTTATATTGATTGGATGCTCTCGCGGGGCTCCCTTGATAATTAAAATTAAAATATAAAACGTATTGACACAGATATACACATGTATGTCATGGGTGGGTGTACTGTTCATCAAACCCTTGGTGTAGTACTTTTGCCTGCGGCATGAGGATCTGGACATTTCCTGAATGGCTACTGATTAAAAAAAAAAAAAAGAGTTCTTCTTTCTGTCCAGTTTTCATATTTAGTAGTTTTGTGGGTACATGCTTATGCAAAATGTGTATCTAATAGATTTCCTCCAAGGCATCACTTGCGACAGTGGAATTGATAGCAAAATCTGCACAACTGAGATAAACAAGATTCCCAGGGTCAGCCCTGAAATAATATGACCCCATAACTGCGCCCCTTTATACACATGTACATGTAGCTGCACACGCATATTGGGTATCTTGGTGGAAAAAGGTGCCGGCAAGTGAAAGGGCATTGCAGTTGACCTCAGCAGTGAGTGCCTCAGCTGGAAAAATTATCCCAGAGTTACACAGTTATGGCTACTTTAGTTATCCCTTCCGAGTGCTGCCATGGCAACACTGCATCCTTCCAGTTTGATTGATCTCTATGATGAGATCTATCAGATTCTGTTGCTGAGTAATCTCGGTCAGACTGTGTGGGTCTGACCACACTGAGCAAAAGTCGTTTTCTTCCAGCTGTTTCTCTGGGCAATCTTCAATGCTGATTGGTTGGCTCCTGGCAACTGCCAGGTGACATTATCCAGTGTAGCACCAAACCAATTGCTTCTGAACACTTTGCAGTCTTGTGGCGTTACGTATACTGTTCAACTTCCATGCCAAATGTGTAAAATGCACCTGTTAAGATGGTCATGTGGATTTTGGTTGTCAAGTTTACATAAGGATATAACTTCAAAACCACAATTTATGAACAGATTCTTGGAATACGATTGAAAATGCCATGTTCGTAAATAGAAGTCTGTTGGACTATGATTACATGTAACTTGTACATGTAATTAGACTAGTGAGGTCCCAGATTTTGACAATACCCCAAAGGTGTTAGTGGTGGCCGAAAGGTGCATGGGCAAGAGGAGAGGGGTAAACGAGTAGGTAAAAAGTTGAAAAGCCCAAAGTGTCTGACCTTTTCCCAGGTGGGTGTTGATGCTCATGTAGCGCGCTGTGCCGGTCAGGCTCTTGTGCTCCCGGTAGGGAATGTGCTTGTTGGTTTCGGGGTCGATGTACTCCTTGGCTAGGCCAAAGTCGATGATGTGAATGGTGTTCTGGCTCTTGCTGGACTGCCGGCCAATCAGAAAGTTCTCCGGTTTGATGTCACGGTAGATCAAGTGCTTACTATGTACATACTCTATTCTGTGAAGCTAGAAAGTAAAAGAGAAGGAAAAACATGAAGAGAAATTTCTAATGAAGAGGAATAGCTACATGTGATGTGGTCATCAGGGACTGAAAAATAAGTAGGCATTGTGAATGATATGATGGGCAGAACCAAAAAAAAAAAGAAAGGAAAATAATACCCATCAGAATTCACGTCAATTCTACATGAGTATAATGTTCAAGTTCACTACCAGTTGCTGGCAGAAGAAAGTTTAATGCGATGAGAATATTATTCTTGGTCTAAAAAAAAACCCAACAATTTGACACAACACTGAAAAATAAACAACAGTAGAGAGCTGACCTGGGGCTAAGGGATAACGACCACCTTAAATAACTTTTATCTTAATGGTGCAACTGCTGACATCTTTGGCAGAACTTCATTTCCCAATTCATGTGGACAGTAATCGCTTAGCAGGACGCATTACTGTGTCACAGAGGAATGCACACATTCACAGTGTCAATCTCTAGTCCCTGGTGAAGCAATTTGACAGAGCTGAGACTTAAGTGCAAAGCCACTGACGACTACACTGCACACAAGCACGAGTTGTTGAAAACAAGATGCTGAAGTGAGGAAAAATACTTGAGTGGCTCACGTGATTCATCGTACTGCAAAAACACAATGGAGGGTATGCCCTCCTGTTTCAACCCAGCAAAGGTAATCACTCCTGGCAAATATCATTCCTTGTACGTGCTTGAACATTTTGTTCACCTGCCCAAAAGAAAGACATATTGTTTGGCACTGGTTTAACAGCTCATTTTATGCTAACAGAGCCTGGGTCTATATCAAGGAGACAGTCAAGCAGTAAGCCCAGCAAAACCTGCTCAACTCTGTGGCACAGACTTGCTTAAAAATCCAAGACTTTACATTAGAAGTCTCCGCATGCTCAATAATAGCATGTGCACACCATGAAATAGATCTCAAGCAGTGGCATAATTTCCTGCTATAGGCTACGTTCAGGCACCGTTTTAAATTTGCTAAAAACGGTAGTTACACCCAATTCGGTGTAACTTCTGCACTAAAACGACGTCTAGACGCTTTTAAAGTTACATCGAATCAGTCTTATCTCAGAGATAAAACGGTGACTTAAAACACCTCGGAGGGAGGGTTTAGCACTAAACTGAAATGGTTTTAAAATTAGTACGGTGTCTAGACGGTTTTAGCTAAAATGCATCCAGTTTTAGCCATCACAGTGACCTAGAGTTACGTAACAAGCTTCCTCTGGTGCACTTTCTTGTAAACAACGAGTTGTATGTAACCGCATGTGTGTGCTGACAACGCCATTTTGTTTTTCATGCTGCTGATAAGCGTTTTCCTGGGTGACGATCTTTTTGCATCGCAACTACAACATGAACAAGAGTATCCCGAGAGAGCGCCATGTTGATGCATGACAAGTAACTTTCAGCGCCCCACGCCAGTTGTCACGAAACCCTCTATTATTTCAAGCCCTATATTCCCAGTGAAGTGTGTGCTACCGCGAGTTATAGTGGAGATTGTTAGTCACTACTTCCGCTCATGCAGGAACAGCTGTAATGAGTCCCACTCATGTGTCGAGGGCGGCCAATCACAACACAATGACCGGATGATCCCAGGGTGCTCTTTACACACAAGGCTTGCGCTTGGAGCTGGCCACACAGCAGATACGTATCACTACACGCACGTACTGCACATGCGCGCAAGTACAGTAGATTCAGTTGCGTGCATTACAGAGCTCCAGTACTGTTCAGTGTCCTGGCCATGGCATGCAAAACGCGCTGTGTGTGTGCATGCATGTGAGCCTGCTGCACTCGGTGACATCGCAAAAAAATTGTACCCATGTTGTCGTTCCACGACAGGGGTAAACTGAAGTAAAAAAGCTCAGGTATTTTTTCATGGCAAGAACAGAAATGAGCGGGTGTTAGTACTTGCGCTTTTCTTTATCATTTAGGGCTGCATTTATGAGACAAACGGGTGCTTTTTAGCTACCTACACCCACTAATTTGGAGCCCTTCAAATATCCAAACTTCAGTTTTTTTTATTCTTCTTGCCAAGCCCTGAAACTAGAGCAGAAGACTACATGTAATGTAAGCGTACACTAAATACACCTGCCCCTGGGTGTCATTGCACAGGTACCAGTAGCACTTGGCCAGTGAGCTGCCTGGGAATGTTTTTGATGGATAGGGCTAACCATCTGCTCAAATTATCTTTTTCCTATTGGTGCATGTCCTTTTACTTCTAATAATGATCCAGTTTTGAGTGAATATTGCCAAAGGCCCCTTAATCCTACTACCGCTACCTCCATCAGCACTTTTTGAAAAAAAAAAATCCTCAGTCTTCTAAATTCTTCCACCATACAGGGAATCAGTGGTACACTCTTTCGTTAATCTTGAACTTCCAAGGCCCGTCTTACCATGTTTACAATGACTACAACTCAGTTCTAACGGTAACTTTCTGAATCTTACAAAACCCTTCATACATTTGTGTATTTTCAAGGAGGGGGGGTTGGGATTTAAGACAAACTGCAATCTCTTTCTGCTCTTCAATTCAACCCGTCCTGTTTTCAGAAATCTGCAACAGGCTCTGTCCACAATGAGCAGTCTGTGGCACCTTTATCTACGTACAAGTACACTGTACATGTATGATACAGCCCCTTTAATCTGTCCCCTTACAGGTGTTTGCCTTGTACTGCCAGGCACAATCCATGTACATGTACATCAGTTAAGCAAATAATTGGCCCAAGAGTGTTTAATTGTGCTTAATTAATGTCCCCAGGTCCAGCCAGATGAAGGCAGTTTCATTTTCCCAGGGTGGTGGCATTGATTAGGTTTTACTGCATCATGTCACAGGTGCATCGTTTCTGCTGACCAATTTCATCATGGACCAATTTTGCTCAGCAGGTTTGTTTACATGAAGCTGTGTAATGCATTCCATCCTCTTCTGCCACGTGAAGTACTATGGTGTGGTGTACATGTACATGGACTTGCTAAGCACAGCATCTACACCTACACATTTGCATGGTGTATTATGTACCGTCCCCTGTGTATACGTACATTCTGACACTTTCAGTGCATGTATTAACGTGAAATGATCACAGTTGAAAGATCTACAGTATGCAGATGACATAAACACACACGTACCAGTACGTGAGTGTTGTGCGGACTGAGTATTTGGCATGGGTATGTTTAAATGACTGATGTGAAGGACAATGTCTCCCAATTTCTTTCTGTTCTGAGAAAGTATCAAAATTCTGCAGCTGGTTTAGGATTAAGGAAGGGAATCTCTATGTAATATGATTCACGGTTAGTGGAACTTTCACATGCGGTTGAAGTGTTTGGCCAACATGCAGCTGCATGCAAGTACATGTAGGAAATGCAGCGTTGACAGCTTTTTGACTTGGCTGCGTATTTAGAATGGTATTGGAAAATGCATCCACCGGTACATGTCAATGTACATTATGAATTAACTTCCTGACTTGGGATCAGGCACTCAACTGTGTCTCATGTGGATGGCAGATGGTGTCAATAAACATGCACAAGGTACAGTCATTCAGATTTGAGGTCCATATAAAAACCAAGTATTTAACAGATTTAAATGTGTTTTTTTTTCTCATCTACTAAAGTAAAAGTACAGAGTACACATGTTGAGTGGATCATTTGTTGTTGTTCTGATTAAACACATTGGAAAATGTATTTAACAGACGACAAATTTATTTTTTCGATTAAAAAACTTTAAGGCACGGGTACATGTAGCACATGTAGAATGGACAATTTGTCATTTGTGCACAAGTTTTGTTTGAAGCGACATACATGTAATTCCTGAAAAAATTAAGATGAGTAGCGAACAATTTGTGGTGAATGCTCGGCACGTTTATTTTACATTTCAAGAAAAATGCACTTTTTAAAAATTTCTGGGTCTCGTAACTCAATTCAAAGTTGCCATGCCACGTCTTGAAATACACTGTGCACTTAGGCTTGTGTAGACAGTATCATGACATGGTAAAACTTGAATACGTCTGCTTGGTGGCAATGCTACTGGTACTACGTTGTTCCCTTCCCCGCAGTTGATCCGTTTTTTGAGTCTGCACAG